TCTAAGCGTTTCCAACCTCAGGAAGATTTTTCTAATTTCTTATAGTCATGCAACTTCTACGTATAGTCTAGTTTCTTTTTCTTTCTTCCTTTCTTTCATTCTTTCTTTCTGTTTTTTTTTCTGTTCTTCTGGAACCTCTGCAAATAAATAAAATTATTAATTTATAAATCTTTGTAAGAAAATATTTGAACTTTTACATGACTTTTCACATTATTTCACCTACATGTCCCCTTGCGATTGTGTTGCAAACAAGTAAAAGAAAAGAATGTTTGACATTAACACCTTATCAGAGGCATATTGGTTGAATAAACTACCTCTTTCCTTAGGCAATCTTTGTATCATCGTCACTGTTTCTTCTGAGGTGCAGAAGTTTCTTGGTTTAATGCAGTCCCATTTATTTATCTTTGTTTCCAGTTGGCCAGTGGCATTTCATCTTTAAAGATAACTTTAGCTTCAGTATTGTGGAGGGTTTTGCCTACATTTTCTTCCATTTACCTTATGGATTTAGATCTGCTGTTGAGGTCTTTAATCCATTTTGATCTGGCTTGTGCATGGTGCTAGATAGTCTGAGACCATTGTTTTGCATGTAGCTGTCCAGTTTTGCCAGCACCACTTGTTAAAGAGGCGTTCCTTGCTTCTCTTTATTTTCCTTGTTTCCTTATCAAAGATTAAATGGTCATATATTTGAGTGTATGTGTCAGAATATTCAACCCTATTCCATTGGTCTGTGGGTCTGTGTTTTATTTTAATACCATGCTGTTTTTATCACCACTGCTTTGTAGTACAGTTTGAAGTTGGGAAAGGTGATGCTTCCCATCATCTTTTTTCCAAAAATTGCTTTAGCTATTCATGGGGGCTTATTGTTTCATATAAATTTCAGGAGTGTTTGATCAATTTCTTTGAAAAATGTCCTGGATATTCTTGTAGGGACCACATTGAATCTTTATAATGCTTTGAGAAGTGTTGCCATTTTGATAGTTAATTCTCCCAATCCATGAGCAGAAGAATGTGTCTCCATTTTTTATGTCTTCTTTTATTTCTTGAAGTATCATTTTGTAGGGCTTTTTGGTACAGGTGCTTTACCTCCCTAGTTAAGATGATTCTAAGGTACTTGGTTTTCTGAGGCATGATTGTGAATGCAATTGTTACCAAAAGTACACAAGGCACTGGTTTAACTCTACAAGAAAAAAATATCTAACCCCATCAAAAAGTGGGCTCAAGAAATGAACAGAAACTTTCTCAAAGAAGAAATTCACATAGCCAAAAGGCACATGAGAAACTGCTCTACATCACTAATCATCAAGGGAGACGCAATTCAAAACAACAATAAGGTATCATCTCATACCAGAGACTGGCTCAAGTCCAAAAGAGCAACCTGTGTTGGCACGAATATGGGGAGAAAGAGACTCTCCATTATTTTTGGTGAGAATTCTGACTGGTCCAGTCTTTTTGGAAAACAATATGGACATTCTTGAGAAAAAATAGAAATTGAGCTCCTATTGGTAAAATACCACTTCTGGGAGTATATCCTGGGGGCCCCAAAACACAGGAGAAACACCATATGAACTCCTATGTTCATTGCAACACTATTCACAATAGCCAGAATCTGGAAACAACCTGAGTGCCGGAGAACAGACAAATAGATAAAGAAATTATGACACATATACACAATGAAATTCCATGCAACTCTTAGGAAAAATGAAGTCATAAAATTTGCCTATAAATGGATAGACATGGAAAGTATAACAATGAGCGAAATAAATCAGAAGGTAAGGGCCAGAGATAGAATGACTTTGTTTTTTTGTGGTATATAAATATATATATACATATATATATAGACTAATATCCACATCCGGGGGAGCAGGGTCTAAGAGAACTGCTCAATGTTTGGAATCAACCACAAGTGTTGTGGAGCAGAGGTTAGGTAAGATAGAGAAGGGACCAGTATAACAATAACAGCTGAAAATTATCACACTAAACAAGAATTGAGTGTTAAACATTCCTAAAGGAATATACCTGATAACCTTTCAGTGTCTGTATTGTAAAGCACAATGCCCAAAGAGAGAGAGAGAGAAAGAGAGGGGCAGGGAGTGTGAAAGTGAGAGAGAGTGAGAATGAGAGAGAGAAAGAGAGAAAGAGAGAGAGCGCATGCAGATTAGGGGTGGGGAGTGGGAGATGATGAAATGAAAACTGAGGACACTGGTGCTGGGAAATGTACACTGGTAGAGGGATGGGCATTGGAACACTGTATGACTGAAACCTAATCATGAACGGCTTTTTAAGGGCCTATTTCATGTGACTCAATAAAAAAACTGTTAAATGTAAGAAAGAAAGAAAAAATAAAAGAATGACAAAATAAAAGTATGAATGGATTTGCAGTGGGGAGCTGTTTGTTTATTTTTAAATATGAATTGAGATTAAAAATATTTGCAGAAGCTTCTTAGTTTAAGATAGTCCCATTTATCTATCTGTTTTTACTTGCTCGGCCAGTGGTGTGGCATCTTTGAAAGTACCATTAGCCTCAATGTCATGGAGGGTTTTGCCAACTTTGTCTTCAATGTACCTTATGGTGTCTGGTCTGATGTTGAGGTCTTTAATCCATTTTGATCTTATTTTTGTACATGGTGTTAGGCAGAGTTCTGAGCCCATTTTTTTGCATGTAGCCATCCAGTGATGCCAGCACAATTTGTTAAAGAGACTTTCTTTACTCCACTTCACATTTCTTGCACCTTTATCAAAGATTAGATGATCATATGATTGAGGGGAGATGTCAGTGTATTCAACCCTGTTCCATTGGTCTGCAGTTCTGCTTTTGTTCCAGTACCATGCTGTTTTAATTATTACTGCTTTGTAGTAGAGTTTGAAGTTATGGAAGTTGATTCCTCCCATTTTCTTTTTCCCAAGAATTGCTTTAGCTATTCGTGGGGGATTATTGTTCCATATAAATTTCAGGAGTGTTTGCTCCATTTCTTTGAAAAATGTCATGGGTATCCTTATAGGAATTGCATTGAATTTATACAATGCTTTCGGTAGTATTGCCATTTTGACAATGTTAAGTCTCCCGACCCATGAGCAGGGGATATCTTTCCATTTCCTCATGTCCTCTATCTTAAACTAAGAAGCTTCTGCAGCTCCAAAGAAACGGTGACCAAAATACAAAGACAGTCTAAAGAATGGGAAAGGATATTCACCGAATACACATCTGACAAGGGGTTGATATCAAGGATATACAAAATACTGGTGGAACTCCACAAGAAGAAAACATCCAACCCCATCAAAAAATGGGGCAATGAAATGAACAGAAACTTTCTCAAAGAAGAAATCCGAATGGCAAAAAAGCACATGAGAAAATGTTCTACATCATTAATCATCAGGGAGATGCAGATCAAAACCACAATGAGATACCATCTCACACCTCAGAGACTGGCCCACATTCAAAAGAACAAAAGCAACCGATGCTGGCGCGGCTGTGGCGAGAAAGGGACACTCCTTCACTGTTGGTGGGAATGTCGACTGGTTCACCCCTTCTGGAAAACAGTATGGACGATTCTCAAAAAATTAGAAATTGAGCTCCCATTTGACCCAGCAATACCACTCCTGGGAATATACCCCAGAGAGGCAAAAATGTGTAGTCGAAGTGACATCTGCACTTGTTTGTTCATTGCAGCACTCTTTACAATAGCCAGAAACTGGAAGAAACCAGAGTGCCCAAGAACAGATGACTGGTTAAAGAAACTCTGGTACATCTACACAATGGAGTACTATGTAGCTGTTAGAAAAGATGAAGTCATGAAATTTACATACAAGTGGTACAATATGGAAAGTATCATGCTAAGCGAAATGAGTCAGAAAGAGAGGGATAGACATAGAAAAATTGCATTCATCTGGGGGATATAAAGCAACAAAATATGAGATCAATACCTAAGAATAGCTGAGATCAACACCAGGAGGATTACTCCATAACTTAGAGGCCAGCCGGATATTCTAGGGGAAAGGGCAGTTCAGATAGAGAAGAGAACACCAAATGAAAGGTGTTTGGAGGATCCTCCCAGGAGGGGAAATGCATGTTGAAATTAGACTATGGACTGAACATGATTGCCACTCAATGCCTCTTTTGCAGACCACAACACCCAAAAGGAGAGAGAGAACAAAGGGGAATGCCCTGCCACAGAGGCAGGGTGGGAGGGGGGGTGGGGGGAAATGGGCACTGGTGGAGGGATGGGTATTTGATCATTGTATGACCGAAACTCAGGCACAAGGATTTGTAAATCTACAACTGTACCTCATGGTGCTTCACTAATAAAAAAAAAAGTGCAGCTCAGTTGTACGAAAAAGGAAAGAAAAAAAATATTTGCAGATTCCCTTTATTATTGCTTACTCATTCATTTACTTAGAAAATATCTCTGTGCCAGGCACTCTATTCTCAATGCAGCCTCACTTTCTATCTTAACATACAAAGATGGGGAGAATTCCATACTTGTGTTCCAGGGAACTTCAGGGAAGACTTAGGGCAAATGAGATACACCTTTGTATGATGCTTGGTAGCTATTACCAATATTGTAGATAATAATTAGCAAGCATTATAAAAACTCTAGAGCTGGGCCAATTGCTCTACTCTGAGCCTTAAGTGAAGAGACTACTGACACTGTAGCTTTCTTGGTGAAAAGGAAATGGAATTTCATATGCAGGCATGATATAATGCTTAGCAAAATGGACTTAAAAGTCCACCTTAGAGTATGTTGAGTTTGCTTTTTATGTTTGCCTTACTCTAACTACATTTTAGCTTTTCAGTGATAGAGCAATTTATTTATATTTTTCTCATATTTATTGAGTAGTCTTTTTCCATGAATTGTACTACATATTGTGCAGAAAAGAGGTGTGAAAATTTAGGCTCTACTTTTGAATACATACCAAACATATATACGTTTTTAACCTCAATCCTACAGGTTCAAATGATACTTTGTTAACTTATTTTATTATTGCTTTATGTGTCTCTTTAGATCTGAACAGTGATGGCACATATTCCACATAGGAATTGTTCAGTGGACTGTGGATTGGTCAAACTATATCCCATCATGATGCATACAACCAAGGCTCTTCACTAGTAGGTATTTTCTCTTCAGTATCATGTACATGGAAATGTTAAGATTTTCAACAGAGTTTACATTTATAAAAAATGAGAAATATATATTTGATTCTGTTGCTCTCATAAACTATGGTTATGATTTTAATTTTGTTGTTCTACCAATTGATTGGAACATGAAATATCAAGCTATGATTCATCTATTATGTATCAGATGCATCTGTCAATCTGTAGCATATAGTCTAGGCAGAATTTAAAAAGGTAAGATTTATAATTTAAACTATACTTAAGTGTACAATTTAATGGCATTAATGATATTCTCTTTATTGGGAAAACTTCACCTTGTACATGTCCAAATGTTTTCCATTACCCCCCCAAAAAAATTCTGTCTTCTCTAAGTGATAACTCTCCACACCCCTGCTGCTTTTCCCTTCAGCCCCTACTAACAAAATCTATCTTCTGTCACCATGAATTTGTTTATTTTAGATATTTTATGCAAGTGAGTTTCACCATATTTGATTTAAGTCTGACTTATTTCAAATACCATTATGTTCTCAAGATCCACATGTATACCTCTCAACCACATCTATCTGTGGGTTTCATTTGTCCATTCATCTATTGACAGATTCAGTTTGGTTTTGGCCTTTGACTAGTGTGAGTAATGCTTTTATGACATGTATGTACAAATATTTGTTTGAGCATCTATTTGCTTTTTGTTGGGTGTATAATTAGGAGGGGAATTACTGTATTATCTTCTTCATTTATATCTAATCTCAATTTAGTAAATAAGTTTCTATCTTGTTCTCAAAATTCAGAAACAAAATTTTTTCTTTGCCTTCCCAGGCAATGTAGCTGTTTGTATTCACTTAATGAGACTAATCAGGATATAAATAAATAAATCCACGGTCCACGGTCCACGGTCCTCCCATTGTTCATCGATTTTCTCAAGCGGGCCCAGTAACGTCTCCATCGTGAGACTTTTTACTGTGTTTGGCATATTGAAGACGTCACGGGTAGCTTGCCAGGCTCTGCCAAAATAAATAAATAGTAAAGAAAAAAAAGAATTTAAAAGTGTAGAATGTTTCTTCTCTTAACATTCAAAACTAATAGAAAATTTCAGTAGTCTTTGGTTCTTTATTATCACATTTGCTTCTTTATTTGAAGAGATTTCAAATATTATTGGTTCAATTTTGACACAACTCAGTTTAACTGTAGCTTTGTCCAACATGATATCTGATACACTTACATAAATATCACAAGTATAATTATGTAAATTTATGTTTAGATCAGTATCATGATAATTTACCTATGATGCTCATGGTTTAATGAGAAATAGAGTGTGAGAACACCCTTCAGTTTCAACATTGATTAAATAGCATGGCAAATCTCTAGGTCTCAATATCTTCATCTGAAAAATAGGAGAAAGAATTTTTGCATTACCCAATTCATGTAATTATTTTAAAGATTTAAATGGTTTATGTGATGTTATTTGCTAATAGTAAACTCTAGAAAAATCATTAATATTTCTCATGGGTGAAATGTCTTGACCATATTTTCTATTAAAATTGGTTAATATAATCTAATATTTCTAATAATCTAATATTGGCCCTGTAATCCCATCAACGGCCAAGACCCAGAGACTATAAAACCCAGCTCCCGGAAGAGAACAGTGCAGAGTCTCCTGCCCCCGCACCTGGCTGTCCTCTCTGGGGCTCCTTGGAAGGGGGCGGGTTGAGTTTCCTTTCCCGCCCCGAGCAGAACTCTCACAGCCTAAGACCTCCAGAACCAGCCACATCCATGCTGAGACCACTCTCCACAAGCATGAAGGTACCGGCAGAGGAACAAAGGCATGCGGGTCCCGGGGCTAGATCTCCAAGCCTGCTCGGATTGGGGCTGAGCATCCTCCACCCAGATCCTCCATCTTCCAGTAGGCAGGGCTCACATCCACCAACTAGCCCCCTGGCACCGTGTAATCCCATCAACAGCCAAGACCCAGAGACTGTAAAACCCAGCTCCCGGAAGAGAACAGTGCAGAGTCTCCTGCCCCCGCGCCTGGCTGTCCTCGCTGGGGCCCCTTGGAGGGGAGCGGGTTGAGTTTCCCTCCCCGCCGCAACCAGGGCTCCGGCAGCCGAAGACCTCCAGAACCATCAACAACCATGCGGAGATCACTCTCCACACACATGAAGGTACCGGCAGAGGAACAAAGGCATGCGTGTTCCGGGGCTGAGATCTCCAAGCCTGCTCGGATCGGGGTTGAGCATCCTCCACCCAGATCCTCCATCTTCCAGTAGGCTGGGGTCACACCCATCAACTGAACCCCCCTCTCCCCGGCGCCGTGTAATCCCATCAATGGCCAAGACCCAGAGACTATAAAACCCAGCTCCCGGAATCGCGCAGTCGCATTTGCAGCCGCGCTACATCTTATCTCTTTCTTACTTTGGACAACCTGGCAGGCTACCAAATGTAAGCTGGCCACAAGGCAGAGTCTGGCAAACTCCCCGTGGCGTACCCAATATGCCAAATACCAGTAACAATGATGGGTCTCATTCTCCTAACCCTGAAAGGTCCTTGAATATGGCACTTTAAAATCTCAGGGCTAGGACAAAGGAGACGTTACTGGGGCCTGCTCGAGACAATTGACGAACAACAGGATGATCGTGATCGTGATCGTGAATCTAATATTTCATATTTCATATGCTGTCTATAATATAAATTAAATCAATAATATAAATTAAATCATACTTGATAGTAATGCTATATATTTTATACTTGACAGTAATGCTGTATATATTTTATATTTGATAAAATTATAGTTAGACAAAGTATTGAAAAAAAATGTTTGTTATACATGCATACATATACACATATACATAGACCATTCTTCACCAAACATAAAATTATATTTCTGTATCAGGTAGTGAACAGTTTATACAGATTAACTGGATTTTGTTTTTAGATATTTGCACTTATAAAAGAAAGATGCACATGATATGTTTAGATTACAGTGTAACTTCACAATACAAAGAGAACAATATAGAAATAATATTAATCATTAATCAGTTTAATTCTTATCAGTTTCCAATTTCAATCAGTATTTAATTTCTTTGTCACTTAAATCTCTTTAATACTTCTTATGATGATTCACTTTAGCTAACAAAACAAAGCTCATTTGTTTTAAGGCTGAAAATGAAAATCTTAACAAATTTAGTAACATTAAAAAAGTCTTTTCATTCAAATTTAAATGAGTTGTTATGTGACTGAACCAATATGATGAAACTGGGTGCAAATTCTTTAATTATTTTCCAGAAATTAGGTCCAATTGTCATTGAAGAATCAATGATTTATTATGGAAGATGTTTATATAGAAGTAAACAAAAACTCCAATGTCAATTAACATAAATGCTCTTGCTGACAATGTAGCATAATTCTTTTTTTCCTTTTTGGATCATACCTGGTGATGCACAGTGGTTACTCCTGTCTCTGCCCTCAGGAATTACTCCTGGAAGTATTCAGGGGACCATAGGGGATGCTGAAAATTGAACCTGGTTCACCTGCATGCAAGGCAAATGCCCTACCCACTGTGCTATCACTCCAGTCCCATAGCATAATTCTTAGTGATGGTGTTTCTTGAATCAATTTATCTAGGGTTTCTAACTCATTGCATAATTTTCAAGATTTGCAGTGCTGACAATTTATTCAAATTTTCTGTGCCTTAGTCGACTTATTTGTAAAATGGGCTTAATAGATTTTTAAATTTGATTTGATTAACTCATCTATATAGACTTTGTTTTATACTTTGTTTTATTTGAAAAGCACAGTTACAATTATTTTCCTGTTCATTCTTCTGTTTTTTGAAAAGAAAAGGGAAAAGTGAAGAAAGGAGGTACAATTGTAGAATATGTGGCATAATAATACAGAGAAGACTTAAGCTTTCACTTTTACAATATCATGTCTGAAATCAGATCATATACTTTATTTGCATTATTAATAAATTTAAGGTATTATATTTTGAATTTTTATTGAATAAAATTCAGTGATTACAATGGATGGCACTTTTCAAATGAGTCATGATTTGCTCCCAAAGTGGAGACTATTAATAATTTGGGGCACTAATCTGAGCCATGTCACTTGGCTGCTGTGTGCATCTCCGAATAGAAGCCCAAGTTTCATTCCTTCCTGTGTTAATTGCAAGTCACCTAAAGTGATGGCAGTATTTGTTCAGTTTATCTCAGTTTATCCTTCTCAGGAGTAGCCAGGAATACTTTAGCACGTAAGTTTAATCTGACTTGTTGGACGTTTCAGGTCATAATATCACTAAATTCCATTTTCAATGGTCCCTTTTATTCTGTTTTAGAAGAAACTTGGTACGAAAGAAGCGTCTGAATATAAAACCTTGGGTAGTGTAATCTCAGGTCAAGATCCCAAATGCATCTGTCATGGGTTTATTCCTCGGTAACCACTTGTTTGAAGTTTGGTGGGCTTGCAAAAAAATGACCGTCGTGCTTGTTAAGATCCTCTTGCATTAGTCTATACATTCAGTCCTTCAGCCTGGCCAGCATTCACACTTTCAGTATTTAAGATACAATAATGGGAATGAAAAGATGGGTCATGCTGTAGAAATGCCATCTAACGTTCATCTGGATACTCTATACCCTTATTTTTCTGACCACTATATATTTGTGACATTTATCTTAAAAGTTATTAATGGCTCTTGGACTAGAAAGTACTCAAAGAGATAGTAAGGTGGCTAGCCTTGCACATAGCTGACCTCAGTTCAATCCATGGCACATAAAACCCAAGCACCACCAGGAATGACCCTGAGCTCAAATCAAGAAATAACCCTGAACATAGCCAGGTATGATGTCAATATCTAACCCCAACTCTTTGTGGCTCTGAAAGTTTCCTTCTAGAGGAGTCTATTTAATAAGAAACCAATCTAGAGCTTAATAAAATAATATCTCTAAAAAGAAATATTGGCGTTTTGTTCAGTACTAGAATTTGGAATAGACATGGGGTATTCT